GGAAGTACTGAAATTAAATTTTCTACTGTTGTTGTGTGATTCCTCTTTGTAGTTTTCCTGTCCTCTCTAGCCCTCCCCCCTTTTCAGCACATATCTTGGAGAATTTTTTAGCTTTCGTTTAAAGCTGATGGCCTTTTATAGACAAGAAATTGCACTTTTAATAAGACAATAATAGAACAAAAATCCCTTTAAACTATAGAAATGTCGAAATGCTAAGATTCCTTTAATTTTTCGCAATTTTCGCACATTTCCCTAGCCCGTTCGTAGCCCAGACTTAAATCCGATGGATTTCTGATTTTGAGATAATTTAAAATCAATTGTTTACAATGGCGCTATAAACACACAACTCTGTGCTAATTTCGGGATACCTATATATTTTTATAATTTAATATATTCATACGAGTCTCAAATACCAGATATTACTGGATGCTTTTACAGATTTAAATCAAAATCGTGTCCGTTCGAAACGCCAGGGTTAGCCAGGATATAAAATCTTAATCACGTTGTCCTTGCTAGCACATTTTTTTTATCGGTCGCACAGAATTTGCTTATTATTTTATTAAGATAAACCAATTTTGCATTGATAACTACTATAGAGATAAACTTCCCATTGTCTGCGATTTTAAAAATAAAACAGGTATTGCATCAGACAACTTCAGACACTGATTTTGACATGTGTCATCAATAAAGGAATTAGCACGCAACACGCGTCGGTACTGAGAGTTTTTAGAAAAAATTATTAGTACTAAAAATACAATGTGAACACACATGTTTAAGTACGAAAATAAAATGCCTTGAGTTATATTTCTAGCTGTGTATAATACTTTCTATTTAAATGCACGAAGCTACAGAGAGATAATAAACATGATATATTGTGGAAAATGGCAAATAAGCACCGATTTCTCCAGATTTATTCCCTATTGATCATTGGTACTATATGTTCTGGATTTTAGATTTTTATCTAAATATGGTCGTTGTACAGAGCGATAAAAAATTAGTTGTTGACGTGCTCTAAAGTTCAGATGAATGCAGTAAAAAGCCTTTGTTGAAGTGATTATGACACATCATATTTATTAATTTACATGCTTTCTCATGATATTACATAAAATTTACGATGAAGACACACAAACACACGGAAAAAATATTTATTTTTGACAGCTGTGTAGCATTGTAATTATTGTAAAAAAATATTTTTTTTAATTTTTTTTTGGACTTTTGAGGGTTTCTTTGGGATACTTTGAGATTTAAAAAAAAACGAAAATATGCTTAGTCTGTTCATTATTTGTAAAGTTATCTCAAGTTTCGCGAAGATATTTAAAGACAATCTTTTGCCTATGTTTGGATCAAGTTTCTTGCATTGAAAATTTTTTAAAAACGTCGCACAAAAAACCATTTTATAGGTTTTTTTATTCTCTACAAAAGTCCTATTGAGAGTAAGACGATTCCATCATTATTTTTGGAGATATAAAAAACAAAAAATGTCATTTTTTGCAGTTTTTATTGTTTAAAATAATTGTTCACGACTTCACTGGGTAAATCACTTGGGTTTTCATTTAAGTACTAAGTATTTGTCAAAAGGAAATACATGAAATTTGCTGTAATACGAGAACAGCCTCCTTTTTTGCTCTATTTGGCCTATAAATGAATCCCACATATTGCATATCGAAGATTGCCATGATTTTATTGATGTTTTGTTTCCAATAATTATTTTGACATTTACAATTAAAATAACAATAAACAGTTTTAGGATTTTAAAACTAATATATATTATTTTTTATAACAATTTACAAGGCCATAATATATTATTTTCTTTCGATAATGTTATGGATTTATAATTAACAATGGATGTACATTGTACAGTCACTGCACTCGCATGTCTAGGTAAACACCATGGGCGTAGCACGGACTCCGTCGATTAAATATTACTTTTGTTCGACTCTGTCGATCACTTATTAACGTCGTTTTGATGTTTCACTAACCGTATTCATTTCGTTTCAGGGACGAGAATAGTTTATGAAAAAAACTTCCTCATGAACCTACGCAACTCGCCTAGTTCCAAGACCCCTCCCAGTTACGACATTCCCGACGGTCTTATCAAAGGGTTTGGCGGCCCTACTAAGAAAAACAGTCCCCCGAAGCCAAGAAATGGTTTACCACCAAGGAGGAACAGCCATAGCCAGAAGAAAACCAATTGTCACGAGGACCAATTTGAAATAGAACTTTAGTATTAGATTTTGATATTTACCCGTAAGGTTAAGCTTTAATAATTTTCTAAGCTGTCAGACATTGCAAGAATAAAGTTGGCTGGGCATAAGTGTCAAATCTACCCAGTTGGCTTTGACAGTGACCAAGGAAGAAACGTTGCGGTTTGGTGCCTACTGCGATTGTTCTGTAAACATGTATTTTTTCTAATAAACACACTTCGCTGTGATTAAAAAAAAATTGCTGCCATTGTAATGTTTCTAATTTTCTAGAAACTAATTTTTATTATTTAGTTTTTAATAAAATGTGATATTAAGCAAAACATTTGCTTTATTTTTAAAATTTCAACAGTTATATGCTTCAGAATCCAGTTTGCTTTTATTTTTGTGAAACGCATGCGTCACTAAAATCAAAAGACTGTTGTGGTTATTTCAACATATATATTTCTAGGAAATTATTTCGCACAGTCTTCGCGGGAGGAAATGTATTTGGCCAAGTCGAACAGTCTGCTAGCGAATGCGTGTTCAGCGTCGTACCATGCGAAAATCTTCGCGGTGCATTTCGAACAATTAACTGCGGATTTGGAATCGATAACACACGATTTGGAATTGCCAATAAGGTCCGAACTGACCAATTCTTCGTCGGAGTACCCCAGTACTTCTTTCATGGGCCCGTCTGAAGCGTCTTTCAGCTTACATCTTATCATTTCCGCAGGGGCATTCTTTTTAAACCTGAAACAGTACATAATTAGGTCGAAAACACCCCGTACATTCAAACGAAGGTCGTTCTTCATGACGTCATCTACGCCATCTTGACGCAGGCGCACTACTAGTTTTAGTTTATCGTAACTCAAAAGTAACGAGCGTTCAAATAAAAACGTGGTTGCAGTTGGCTCTGACACATTGGACGTAGGGAGTAGCTTATAGCGACCAACTTAACCTCATTTCTCAACGAGCTGTATAGCAGCTGTCAGTTTCAATAACGTTAATGACTATATAACTTTATTTTAACGAATAATCGTGATAACAATAACAAACAATTAATCCTTGTTCCAAGCACTTTTCATACCTGTTCCTCAAAGAATTAAAGACATTTTCTAAGATGCTCGGGGTATTGTTAATTTCACGAGTCTTGTCTATAAGTCGAGCCTGCAGATGGTTTAAATCAGGAATAGGCAGTTCAAAAATAGTGTGTTTAAGGTAAGGCCACAAAAAGAAATCACACGGCGTAATATCACATGACCTCGGTGGAAATTCATGTTCAGCATTGAGACTTATTAGTCAATTTTGGAAAACTTCCCTCAACATATTCATCGTCTCGCCTGCCGTATGTGACCTTGCGCCATCTTGTTGAAAGTAAAAGTTTGTAATTTCGTTTTCTTCCAGCTGGTTAACAAAAAGAGCGATAATTTCTTCTCTATACCTTTGCGCAGTAAGAGTAGGTACCATTAAAAAAAATAGGTCCATAAATCCTCCTTCGATTGAGAGCACACCAAACTCCAATTTTTTGAGCGTGTAGAGGGCCCTCGACAAAAAAGTTATCTGGTTTTTCAGAAAACCACATTCTCATATTCTGTGAGTTTACGTAACCACTTAAATGAAACCAGGCTTCATCAGAAAAAAAGGTGATATTATGAAGTTCACCGTAGTTGTTTAAAAACCATTCACAAAATACAGCCCGTCGCGGAAAATCAACTCCATGAAGTTCTTGCTGACAAGTTAAACGATAGGAGAACAAACGCAAATCTTTTTTTAACACTGTGTGGCAGGTACCGACTGATACTCCCACCATTTGTGATAAAACACGTACAGAAGTTCTTGGCGCATTTTCCATTATTTGTTGGACATTTTCTTTAAATTCTTCAGTCCGCTTTTTAGGTCGGCCGCTTCCTTCTTTTCTTGTTACACTGCCCGTTTCACGAAAAATATTAACACAACGCTGAACTGCACTTTGAAAAATTTTGTACTCAACAACGCCGGGAAATTGATTTTGAAATTCTATGAAACATTCCTCAATAGAATACTTCCATATTCCATCAATCTTGCGTCCATTTCTAAAGTAGGACTCTATGATAAACACTTTTTGTTCTTAAGAAAACACCATTTTAAACGCTTTTTAAAACGAAAATATTCAAATTGATAGCGGCGATATAGCGCTTTGACAGATGACGTTCAAGTTCATTTGCTATACGCTACGCCCTACGTCCAAATTTTCAGAACCAACTTGACCACGTTTTTATTTGAACGCTCGTTATATACAACGCGCCGTGTACTGTTTCCCGGTAATTTTACATTCTAGTTATAAACAAATGTATCGTAGTGTTTAAACTGCTCGTGAATGTGTTATTTAGTCTTATAAGTGAAAATAAAGTGCTGTTTAGGATTTAAATGTTGTGTGTGTATGGATATATACGAGATAGGCTTCCCAATAAACATCTAAGGTATGTTCGAAATGTTTAGAAAATACTTTATGTGAACGCAAAATGATTAGTAATAGTAAATTAATTTTACAAAGTACGTATTATTCATGATCTGTGCCTCAAGTCCATAAAAAAACATGACGTACCACTTACAAGTTTCAAACAGTGTATGAATTTGCATCGGTGATTTGATTTGGCCGGCTTAGCATGTACCAACGGAAAATTTTAAAATAAAAACGTTTAAGTAGCCTATTTCAATAATATAATCTTTCTTGGGATTGCAGTTCAATAATTTCAACAGCTCGTAAATGTTCATTTTTTGTACCTACTTCAAAACTTTAAAAATCAGTCAATATTTTTAGTTGGCGTTTATGATTTTTCAAACCTACTACTTGTTTTTTAAATAATGTAATTAGGCTTATTGTTAATTAGGTAAAGATTTCTCTTCTCTTTTTATACAATTAGATTATAAACAATATAGAGTCACCTGTTGCACTTTTACATTTTTTATAAAGAAAACTAGTTCTGTAAAGTTCGCGCAAGTTGTTATAACGAGCGTTCAAATAAAAACGTGGTCAAGTTGGTTCTGAAAATTTGGACGTAGGGCGTAGCGTATAGCAAATGAACTTAAACGTCATCTGTCAAAGCGCTATATCGCCGCTATAGACAGTGTTACCAGATCTCCTGTTTTAACAGGAGATCTCCTGTTTTCACTCTCACTCTCCTGTTCTACTGTTTTCACTATGAGATCTCCTGTTTTTTAGTTTCAATGTCTATTCTTCTGGTTTCTCTATGAAATCTTCTGTTGATTATACTAATTTTCCCCAGAATAAGAATATTTTAGTACGACACTGTTCTCTAACGGCACTGTGTTCGTCACTTGTCAATATTTTCAGTCCTGTTATATTTTCTGCAGCCCAGTTCATGTACATATTTAAATTTTAAATCCGCAATTCGCGTTTATATGAACTGGGCCTAACAGAATAGAAGGCGAGTTCGTTTACTTCAGCGGGATTCCGGGATTTATCATTTTGACAACTGACAGTTGTCAAATCACATGACGTACCGATGTAATTGAAAACTATTAAACGAACTCCTACATTTATATATTTTGCTATATTTTGTGCATGTACTTGTGTTCCTCTATTAAAAAATATATTTATTAAAATCTCCTGTTGAAAAAAGAAATCTCCTGTTTTTTTGGCTACATTCCTACTGTTGACAGAAATTTCCATCTGGCAACACTGGCTATAGACGAGATTCGTGAAATTAACAATACCCCGAGCATCTTAGAAAATGTCTTTAATTCTTTGAGGAACAGGTGTGAAAAGTGCTTGGAACAATATAAGCTACTCCCTACGTCCAATGTGTCAGAGCCAACTTCGACCACGTTTTTATTTGAACGCTCGTTACTTATTGTTTCACTGTTAATAGTGTTAATGTTAATTGAATAAATTATTGAATTTCTTCAATTTTATGGGTTATTCTTTACATAAAATAGTAGTGTTACATACTGATACTGATGTGTTCATAATTTTATCCTCTATCTGTTACTGTCAAGATCCAATATGGCGCCCAGAAGGAAAAAAACAATTGATTGTTGCATAACGGAAACTAGTGGCCGTAGAAATTTTCTTTTGACGAAAATGGATTCCTCGTATCTTTTTATTCCCCAGTACCAAATTACAACTTTTCATTTTTTAAAATCGTTTTTTCACAATATTTCAAGAACGGCAAAAGATATCTTTGATCTGTTTGGTTTATTTTCAAATTCAAATTTGTCGTTCTCACTAAACATTATTTCTTTGTTAAAATAGTTTGTTATAGGAAATAAATTAATTGTGATAAATAAACTTCTGTCAAAGTCCTTCGTTTGTTCCGCGTGCCTCGTACATAGCCACTGCGATCCATCAGACATAAATTTAAAAAAGTGAAAAATTTAACGATGCTACTAAGTATGCACTAATATATAGGGTGTTCCATTAAAAAAAATTGTTTCTTTAATTTAGTGATTCCATTATTCAATTGTTTTTTCTAATACTGTATTATAAAAATTCATAAAAAAAGCTAAATCTTTTGTATTAAACATTTTTTTTTTAATTTGAATAACAAACTCACAATAAGTTGTCAGATTATAGGGACTATCCCTGTGTACATTTCATGTATAGTCTTTTCGAAGTCAGTTGAACATGTACAAAAAACCGAGCAATTAAATTTAATGAGTTTCATAGGCGTCCATAAAGAAGTTTTCTGCTAAAGGTAAAAAATTATAATAATTTGTATGTAATGTGTAGAAAATTTATATTATATGTTCATTTGACCAACAACATATTTTAATTATTTATGTGGACAAATAGAAGGTGCCTAAAAAATTAAAATCATCTAAATCACACCAAATTCCGCATTGCTGCACTGCACTGCCAAGCGACTTGTCGACAACTGAAATTTATAACGCAGTCGACCAAAGCAACTGTGTATGTACCCGTTTGCCCGCACGCGCATTCTCCAACTGGGCGTATACATTTCTACCACCTACACGTTTTGTTCCACCAGACCTCTGTACGGCTAAATAAATATGGGAACAAGTTTTTCAAATATTTCAATGCCGAGTTGCTGCGTATCGACCGAGCCTGGTACACACCTTGAAGTTATTGGTTCTTCAATTGACTTCGGAGAAACTATAATAGCAAAATAGTATAGCCACAAATCAAACTAAGAATGCTCTCCGTCGTAGCTCCTCCAGGCCTTGCTACTACTCCCTGTCAGGCCTAAGATGAATTTGATCAAACCTTAAGATATTTTTAACTGCAGATTGCAAAGATAAATCCCAATTTTATATCACGATGTTGTAAACAGCTTGTTCTGCAGTCTTAATCGAAAAACACTTACTTAACTGTTAGATCGATGCCACCTACGCAAGCCACTGGTATCTTGATGGCGGCAGATTCCGTCTTTCCCTCCAGTTCGGGCATAATCTTGTCGACGACCTCCTTCTTGGTGGTGGCGTCAGTCGGTGAGAAACTCATGATGGCCGATCTACTGGACCTGCAGTTGGATGGGCCGGGATCGTCCAGGATTTTGTCGGAGCTGTTCAGAGGGTGGAAAGCCGTAGCCATAGCTTCCTTTAAAGGAGGGGAGGGTTAGTGGTTATCGCCGATGATGTCACCGAGTGTGTGGAAAGGCTCGTTACCTCTATCTCGAAGTTTTCGTGTAGAACTTTCATCATAACCGCAAGGCAGTTCATGCTAGGTGTGGCGGCGGAGATGGACTTCATTTCTTTCGTGAAACACGCGTGGTTGACTCCTACGATGAACATGGGGACGTTGGAACATCCCGTAACTATTACTCTTTTGACTCCTGCTCTCAGAAATTTCTAAAAAATAAGCTTATATTTGATTTTCTGAAATATGAATGGCATTAAAATGGTGCGACCGCAAGGATCTACTTTGAGCCCTTTAGAGATTGATTACCGAAGCTAAGTTGCAGGTAGTGTTTTTCCCAGTGGTATCTATGATGTACTCCACACCATTCTTACTCCATTGTATTTTCTCTGGGTTGGGTTCTCTGGATATCTCGATCCTTAGACCTGCGGGGATAAGGTTAAAACTTCCATTTTATTACTTCAGGAAGATCTTACTCACCATCTACAGATATAGAATCGTCCATTTCAACTATGTCACCTGCGAATTTTCCGTAGTAGGTATCATTTCTTATCAGATATCCCACACATTTTGTTGGTAATTCAGCATCATTTATCATTACTAACCTAGGCAGGTCGGCTACAGTTTTCTGAAATAAAAAAATTAGTAGAGCTAAACGTTTTATTTTGATCTTGATTTTGATGAAGCGAAGACTATGCTCATCGTCCTTGCTATTTCGAAAACACGTAAATACATATAAGAAAATAATTATTATTACAAACGTCACATACATATTCGTCTTTTGCTGCAGCACTGTTTATTCGCAGTTTCTATTTTGTAGTACTTACTTGCTTATATTTGTTTATAACTACTTTCAGTAACTGTCTTCCCAATCTTCCAAAACCATTAATACCAATTTTTACCATATTTTACCTTTTTGTTTACTATTAGTCAAACGGACAGTACATACTGATCAAATTTCAGACGTTTATTTCGAAAGGACAACACATTTTGACAAATTTCGTGACAGTCGGTCGTTTCGGCTTCAGAAGATACAATTAGATGTAGCTCACTACCTATGTGACGCTTTTTAGGTCCGAATTCTTGACACATGCACCGATTGACGTGAAATTTTAATAGTAAGTAGAAAATTGCTCAAGAAACAAAATATTACACAGTGCCGATGTGTGCTTTAGCCCTGGGGGTGAGAAGGGGTGGCAATGAAGGCACACATTTTAATAGCAAAAATCAATAGAGGGTTGGATTCTAAGGAAAAATTGCTCTATAACGTTTTTTCCAAAAATTAATATTTTCCGAGTTATCTGCTATTGAAAATGTTGATTTTTCATCTAAAAAGTACATGTTTTTCAACCATTTTTGATAAATGACTCGAAAACCTTGCGTTTTATCGAAAAACCCATATATAGCAAAAATAAAGCTTTTGAAACAACGAATCGATTCATTTTTTGTTGATTAGCTTAGATGTAATAATAACCGAATTATCACTCTCTAAAGGCGATTGTTTATTTTTCGGAGAGTAAAATCGAACCTTTTACCGTAAAATAATGGCGAAAGAACTAATTTTTAGAAGAAAATGGATATAACCTTTTTTAAAGTGCTTGGAAAGACCTTCAAAATGCTTTTTGAAAAAATTTCGTAGCTCAAAAACTCGCGGAGTTGTGATGAAAATAAAATGGTCATCTCATTTTTTCGGAGAAAAAATCAACAATAAAATCTATGGCTGAACCATAAAAATAGAAACTAAGCGTAATCCATGTACAGTTGACTTTATTTAGGTACTAATAATAGGCTCTGTAAGTTTGACCGGTTTAGAATGCCTGAATTTAAAAAAAAGTTTGAAATAATGAAAAAAAAAATTTAATTTAAAAAAATATCCTTTTTTTCGAAATAACTCAAAAACTAAACAAGATACGTGAAAAATGCAAGAGTTCAAAATTAAAGGTCTTTTTTTTATAATATTTTTGCTCACTTTCAATTTTTCTGTAGAGCAAAAATTAACTGAGGTATTACGTTTTTTAGTTTGCATTTGCGTGTAAGAACCACCTTCTTTGAGCCCTTAAAAAATCTCGAAAACGAAGAGTTCAAGACCCTTCAACTATAAAGGTTGATTGGTAGCTCTTGTAATTCCCTGCAAATTGCTTTTTGGAGCGATGAAAAATATCAAAAATTAAAAAAGTTATCGTGAAAAAACGAATTGTATTATTCAGTGAAAATTGTCGGATCGTGTAAATGGTCGACCATGGTCGATAATTTTTGAAACCAAAAAAAATTATAGTAGGATGAAACCCATTGGAAAAGAAAGAAAATATAACAAAAATGAAAGGAAAAATAATTTACGGGCGATCTGAGGTCGGGAAGGGACCAGTGCTTGGGGAAGGGGGTGAGTTTTTAAGGGTAAAAAACGGTTTCCCTTGATTTCCAGAAAAACTACAAGAATTATGGAAAAAAGTTAAATGACAAAGTTGTAGGTAATAAAAAGATCTACAACTTTTGTATTTACACTTTTTTCACATAACCTCAAAATTTATGAGAAAAATTCAAATAACCAAGTTTTTGGTTTTTTATTTTTCTTTTACAAAAAAAAAAATTTTTACGAAATTTGGTGAAAACTTACCTATTTATGTCCCATACACGCTGTAATTTTTTTGATTTGAAATATTTATTTTTTCACCTTATTTTTACTTAATATCGAAAAAGCACCCTAATTTTCAATCGAAAATTCTCACGTCAAAATATCTGCTTTTTTAAAAACGTCGGTGGGCTTTTTCTTCGTTGAAATCTCTACTTTCTGATGGTGT